TATTGACTAACGTATTGATATCTTCGTTGAATTAATCACATATAGGTATAAATTGTAACGTGGATGGGCACAGCGTTGCTAGGTAACGGACCAGTAAACACGTCGCGACCGAATGCACACAAGGCAACAATGGGATTGCGGTGTTTTCTATGCGGTAGGCGCCGTGACCGTTGCTATGCGATCGATAAGTAAACACGTTCCATATACAAAAGACGGACCCATCCTCTCGTCAGAGAAGGCGCCCCACAGAAACAAGACCGTAACTGTCAAACGATAATAATTAATGTCTGGTCATAAGCCCCAAATGGGGCTCGACACCCAGACTTACTGACTGACTGACCGTCAGTCGCAATGTAACTCTGACTAAACACGTTCCAACAATATAGGCTGTTTTCTGCGTGGTCGGTGCGGTGGCTATATAACAAGAATAACGCCATCCCGTGTGGAGGCGGTGTCGAATACCTCCACCGTGACCCTGCGAGTCAGGGGCACGCAGTAGCGTAGTTGGTTAAGGCACTGTGTTACAAGCCGGAAGGTCGCTTGTTCGAATCTAGATGAAGACATTGAATTTTATCAGTTTACATAATCCTTCCAGCCGCACTATGGCCCTGGGTTCGATTCAGCCTCTAACAGAAATGAGTACCAGAAATTTTCCTGGAGGTAAAGGGCGGCCGGCGTGTAAGGCTGACAACCTCACCGCCATCTATGAGCTGATTGTCTAGAAAATGTGGAAGCCTCAACATCTTAGAACCCTATGGGCCTTCATGGCCTGTTACAGGGGAAGCTTTACTTATCATGTAGAATCACATGGGCGGGACACCTAGGATACATATGAGAAATGAGAAATGCATACAAAATTTTAGTTGGAAATCCTGAAACAAGAAGCTACTCGGTAGAGCTGTACGTAGACTGGAGAATAATATTAAAGTGGATATTACGTAAATGTGATGTGATGATGTGGACTGTATTCATCTGACTCAGAATCGGGCCAAGTAATCCGCACTTGTGAACTGGCAATAGACTTTCATGTTCTATATAAGACAGGAAAATGTCTAAGGATCTCAGCTTGTGTTAGCTAATGAAGGAGGACTCTGCTTCAAAAACTGTCTGTATTTACTTTCGTGTAAGAATTCTCCTACTCTTCTACAGTGGACTTAGGGTTGTAGCCCTAATTATGCGTGTTAAAGTATGGGGTCCACTTTGTTTTGCTGAAACAAAAAGTCATTCGTAACAAACCCACTCAGACATCCAGAAATACCGTGAGATGTAACGGCAAAGATAATATTAGCTTCGAAAACAGGACTGAATTATGTAGTATTCTATATCAGTACTGATTAAAAACTAATATTTTCGTTTTGTTGTTGTTACATAGTACTCAGGTTTTCTGTGACACGCCGCAAAATGATCATATTGTGACGTGTTGCGCTGTGGATGACGCCCCTCCCTCCCCGCCAGCCGTGACGTGCCGAGCGGAGCGAAGTGAGCCTAATCCAAGCACGCTGGTCGCTGTGCATAGCGAGTTAACAGCGGTTGCTAAGCAAAGCCAGTCAACACCACGTCTCTCCCCGCGGTGACGTAACACGGGACGCCAAAGTTGCTACGTAGCAGTAAACAACTCCCGGCAGCGAAGCGCAGTAACGCCGGTAAACACGCAACTAGGCAACAAGGAAGCAAGGCGTTTTCCCGTTGTCCGGCTGAGGATGTATAAGAGAATTAAACTGCCTACGGAGTCAGTTAAAGTGTAGCAGCCTACGAAGAGAGTTGCAATGTAGCAGCCGCCGAAGTCAGTTGAAATCTAGCCAGCAGTGAGCAGTTAGAAGTGAGTGAGTGATCAGCAGCCGAAGACAGTTGAGTTGGAATCTAGCAGCAGTGGCGGAAGAAGAATACCAGAACGTGTGATTAGAAGAGATAGCGTGAGAAGCAGATGCTTGGCACAGAAGAGAAATAATTGGGAGTGTGTGATACAGTGACACTTGTATAACTCCCTGTGAATACGTGTAGACTACTGAGGACAGAGTGGACAGATTTGTGTGTAGGGTTATGAAAGTGTGTAAACCCGTAACATTGTTGTAATTAATTGTAGCCGAGACTTGTAGGTTGTTAAATAAACCAATTAACAATCCGAACGGCGTCTTCAGTGGCAAAACACGTTACACTTGTGTCAGAATTGTTTACGAACTTCAACACGGCTCAACGAATAATTGAACTTATGTTTGCTCCTACTATTATACTGCTACAAAAATGGAGTCACAGCAGATGTTGGAACTTCTGAAAGAGATGAGGGCCTACCAAGTTAAAGCAGATGCCGATCGAGTGCAGATGCAAGACAGAATAGAGGCCAACAGAAAGAAAGACAAAGCGGATTTCCTGGAGAAATTAGAATTCAATCATAAAAAAGCAAATATCATGCTGGCAAAATTAGACGCCGATAGGAAAACTGACAAAGAGGAAAAGCTGAAAGAAATGGAGGCCAATAGAAAAAAGGCAGAGAAGATTTCCTGGCAAAATTGGACGTCAACCAAGAAAACGCCGACGTCATGCTGACAAAATTAGACGCCTACCAAGAAAAGGCGGCGGCCGATAGGAAGGCCGACAATGAAGAAATGAAGGCCGAAATGATATCTATGCGTTCAGAGTTGGATGAGACACTCCAACATAAAATTGAAGCCGTCAGAGCAAGGACAGAAGCCATGCTATAATATATGGGCACCAGCCACATGGAGATGGTGTACGTATTTAAACCCGAATTAGAGGCGGAGACGATGACCTGCCAAGAGACAGAGGCACGTCTAGTAGAAGAAAAGCCGGCCTCAGTGGACACGAAACCTGGGGTGGCCCAACAACGAGAAGTCCCCAACGAAAATGCCGTAGTGAAACCGGTGAAAGGACGGAAGAAGCAAGCTGTAGGACTACGTGGAGAGCCACAGGAAGTAACTCGAGGAATTTCTGGATCCCGGAAGAAGTTGGCCGCCGCCTGCAGGAAGGTGTCCCGCCGTGCAACAGTGGCATGGCGCAAGAGTAGCTTCTTCAGGAAATCTTGGTCCCAAAGAAATTGTGGACCGCTGAAGAGAAGCCACACAAGGATGTCCCATCGCGCAACAGTGGCACGACGCAAGAGGACATCGTGAAGGAGAACCTTACTCAGGGAACTGGTGGATCCGGGAGGAAGCGATTGGTCGCGGCCGACAAGAAGATGACTTGCTGTGCAAATGTGACACAGCGCAAGAGACTCAGACTCCGGGGAGATCAGTTAGAGTCACGCACAAGCCATCATAAAGATGTGTCAAGAAAGCACGAGAATAACTTGAACGTGAGAGAACGACACAAGCACTCGTAGTGAAAGGAAATTTCGAGGCATGTGCAAGTGCACAATCAGACGTGCTGCACGGAATCCCATCAGATACCAACATCAAAAACTGGACACTGTGGAGATGTAGACCCCCTCCAAAACGAAAAAGGAGACTTGGACCCGAGGAGATTATGGATCTCGGATGAAGCTGACTGCCACCTGCAGGAAGATATCCCGTCACGCAACAGTGGCACGAAGTTGGAGAAATGCCTTCAAGAAGGAAACTCCCCAGGGAACCTTCGGATGCCGGAGAAAGGACTTGGCGCTACGGTCTCGTGTCAGCAAGTGGCGGGAAGACCAGGAGGAACGACGACGTCAGCAAGTGCAAACAACGCATCAAGTGCTGTTACGTCGACATAAAGAACTTCTCAGGGAAACACTAAACGAATGCCCAAGACTTTCAGCAGAACTACGAGAGGTACCCGTACAAAGACGTAGAAGTAATGCCGATCGGAAAACCAAAGCAGAAAAAGCGTAGGGACCGAAACAAGCGACGAAATGTGAAGAATTCGACACAGGATAATTCTGGACCCCAGAAGAATTTGGCCGTAGCCCGCAGAGGGATGAGCCGCCGTGGGAAAGAGGAACATCTTCAGGAAATTTCGACCCACAGAGAGTGCACCGCGGAAAGAGGTGACCGCCACCGGAATGAAGATTACACGCTGTGAAGGTCACAGGCGTATGGGACGAAAAGCAAACAGTGTTGAACAAGAAACCGGAAAAGAAGAACTGGAATAAAGAACATAGGCGGCAGACAGCCGCTATGCCAGAAGAAAAAGGTGTCAAACAAGGACGCCGTCGGAGGGTGTAGATCAGGAAAGCGATCGAACCTAGGAGGGAGAATTTGTAAGAAGACCATCTACGAGATTGTCAGCGTGAAGATCGCGAAGCGAATTGGCGGCTCTACTGTCGGATTACGACAAAACAAGGAATGGAACTTATGGAGGGGTAGCCCCTCCAAGGCGGAAAAATAAACAACGGATAGAGGAGGAAACGGTAAAGTAGAAGTACCGGCTTCCCGAGAAAGAGTGCATGTGCGATCGATGAATCTAATACAACTGGATTTTCTGGCAAATTGAATGGAAACCACTCGAGATGAGCTGGTCTTAAGAGGGGAGCGGTTGTAATGGCCGGAGAACAGTCGCTGAAAGCAGTAGCAGGACAAAAAAAAAGATGCTGCAAAAACGACCTCGAAAGAAAAGGAACGGGAGTGCTATTCGGGACGAACAGCCTTAAGCAGGGAGAAGTGTGACGTGTTGCACTATGGACGACTTCCCTCCCACCCTGCTAGAAGTGACGTGCCGAGCGGAGCCGAAGTGAGCCGAGTCCCAGAACTCTGGTCATTATGCAAAGCGAGTAAACAGCGGTTGCTAAGCAAAGCCAGTCAAAACCAGGTCTCTCCCCGGGATGAAGGAACACGTGACGCCACAGGGCTATCGGCAAACGGCGTCAGACAACAGTGGTGTCTATTACTTAACTGTTTAATGTGCTGTCCGTAACAGGGCTAAATAAGGAGCAGCGAAAACCATTCAAGAGTTAGAAACGAGTTGGCCAGGGAAGACTATACAGTCTAGTATTTGTGATATTGCCGATGGCAGTAATTTTGAGCTTGCAAATTGTGTGATTGTGAACGAGTGTGAAATAAAATTCGCTATATCCAATATATTCGCGTGACCACTGTGATCTCGCTGTGGCCCGTCGCTGGGCTGTCGCCCTCGCCTTTGGCTCTGCTTCCGCCGTCGTCGTTGTCTGTGCTGTCGCACTGCCCATCGCTGGTAACTGGGCTTTCGCTGTCGGCTTCCGCTGGGCGGTCAACCTCGCACTTGGCAGTGCTCTCGCCATCGTCGTTGTGTGTGATATCGCCCTCGCCGGTGGCTGTGCTGTCTCCGTCGCAAGTCGCTGTACTGTCGCCCTTGCAGGCGGCTATTCTGTCGCACTCGTCGGTGGCTATGCTGTTTCCGTCGCAAGTCGCTGTGCTGTCGCCCTTGCAGGCGGCTACCCTGTCGCACTCGTCGGTGGCTATGCTGTTTCCGTCGCAAGTCGCTGTGCTGTCGCCCTTGCAGGCGGCTACCCTGTCGCACTCGTCGGTGGCTATGCTGTCTCCGTCGCAAGTCGCTGTGCTGTCGCCTTTGCCGGCGGCTACCCTGTCGCACTCGTCGGTGGATATGCTGTCTCCGTCGCAAGTCGCTGTACAGTCGCCCTTGCCGGCTGCCAGCCTATCGAACTCGTCGGAGGCTGTGCTTTCTCCATCGCAAGTCGCTGTGCTGTCGCCCATGCCGGCGGCTAGCCTGTCGCACTCGTCTGTGGTTGTGTTGTCTCCGTCGCAAATCGCTGTGCTGTCCCCCTTGCCGGTGGCTACCCTGTCGCACTCGTCGGTGGCTGTGCTGTCGCCCTTGCAGGCGGCTACCATGTCGCACTCGTCGGTGGCTATGCTGTCTCCGTCGTAAGTCGCTGTGCTGTCGCCCTTGCCGGCGGCCAGCCTGTCGTACTCGTCGGTGGCTGTGCTGTCTTCATCGCAAGTCGCTGTGCTGTCGCCCATGCCGGCGGCTAGCCTGTTGCACTCGTCGGTGGCTGTGCTGTCTCCGTCGCAAGTCGCTGTGTTGTCGCACTTGCAGGCGGCTACCCTGTCGCACTCGTCGGTGGTTATGCTGTCTCCGTCGCAAGTCGCTGTGCTGTCGCCCTTGCAGGCGGCTACCCTGCCGCACTCGTCGGTGGCTATGCTGTCTCCGTCGCAAGTCGCTGTGCTGTCGCCTTTGCCGGCGGCTACCCTGTCGCACTCGTCGGTGGCTATGCTGTCTCCGTCGTAAGTCGCTGTGCTGTCGCCCTTGCCGGCGGCCAGCCTGTCGTACTCGTCGGTGGCTGTGCTGTCTTCATCGCAAGTCGCTGTGCTGTCGCCCATGCCGGCGGCTAGCCTGTTGCACTCGTCGGTGGCTGTGCTGTCTCCGTCGCAAGTCGCTGTGTTGTCGCACTTGCAGGCGGCTACCCTGTCGCACTCGTCGGTGGTTATGCTGTCTCCGTCGCAAGTCGCTGTGCTGTCGCCCTTGCCGGCGGCCAGCCTGTCTAACTCATCGGATGCTGTGCTGTCTCCATCGCAAGTCGCTGTGCTGTCGCCCATGCCGGCGGCTAGCCTGTCTCACTCGTCGGTGGCTGTGCTGTCTCCGTCGCAAGTCGCCCTTGCCGGTGGCTACCCTGTCACACTCGCCGGTGGCTGTGCTGTCAGTGTCTCGTGTGGTGTTCCGAGGCACACCTCTTAGACTTTTCATCAGTTCCTCCATTCTCCTCTCTACTTTGTTCGTCTCTTTCGTTGTCGCCCTCATCCTGTTCTTCTGACACGGAGCGTCTTGCCTTCTGAGAGGCTCGAATTTCTCTTGAAGTTGTTCCCTTCGCCCTTGATTTGAACTTGCGCTCAAGGGCCGTGCTTCTGTTGCTGACGGATCCATTTCTGTCAGTTCAGGAGCCTGTAAACTTGGTGTCTGTCCGTTTTCGTCTCCTTCGGACACTGAGTTTTCTGCTTCCCCCTGGTTTTCCGCTGCACTCTTCAGGCCCGTCTCCACAGCGTTCGAACTCTTCAGCATTGAGCACTGCGCCTCTCGCTCGTGCAGAGTGTAATCTACATGGACTTGCTACGTAGCTACTTTGGCGTCCCGTGTTACGTCACCGCGGGGAGTGACTGAGTGTTGACTGGCTTTGCTTAGCAACCGCTGTTTCCTCTCTTTGCATAGCGACCAGCGTGCTTGGACTCTGCTCATTTCGGCTCCGCTCGGCACGTCACGGCTGTCGGGGAGGGAGGGGCGTCATCCATAGCGCAACACGTCACAATATTTTGACCAGAATGTAAATATTCGAAGCGAGTGCAGAAAGCACCTGCAGAGTACTATATTAGGTTTACACTGGGTTGTTACTATAGGATTCTGACGATGGTGTATAAAACACTGATATGTTGGGTTTTTGGACTTTATCCATCGTCCTGGTTTTTTAAGATAAATAAAAACACGACGTTTCGGAAACTGGATCTGTTTCCGTCCTCAGGTGAAGGAGAACACCTATTCAGTTTGGTCCGTTAGAAAGAGCTAGCCTCAATCACTTGGTCCAGTCTTAAAAATCCAGGACGATGGATAAAGTCCAAAAACCCAACATATCAGTGTGTTACACTGGGTTCATTGGCACTCCGGTTAGTCCTGTCGCTTGCTGGTGTCTAGTGTCTTTGTCACTAAGGAACCCAGGCCTCATATGAAGTCTTCTTGTTCAACCAGCCTCGTCAGTACAGAACAAATTTCCAATGATTCGGATGTCATTAATGAAAAACATTGGAAATAAATGAATGAATTTTTTTACTCAACTAAATGAAGATATTTGTTGATGAAAAACTTTACATAAATTATTAGTAGAATGTATAACTTATGTACAATTTTATTCTAGGTGCATTTAGAAAACCACATGCGAGTACAAAGTTTTGATTTTTTTTTTTTCGAATCATAGCATCAGAAATTTCTTCATTCAGGAGTACGATGAGGTTAAGAAGTATTATTCATTCTTCTAAAAATGAAGATGAGATGGGCAGGACAATTAACACGCATGTGGAGAAGGGGTATGCATACAGGGTTCTTGTAATATAGCCAGAAGGAAGATACCAGTAGAAGACCTAGACATAAGTGGGAGGATAATATTAAAATAAATCTTATTTAAATAAGATTTAGTGGTGTAGATTTGATTAATTTCAGGATAGAGCTCAATGGTTAATATTGTGAACACGGTAAAGAACATTCGAGTTTTACGAACTGTTTAGGAAAACTATGCTAAAAATGGAGAATCGATGGTCCGAGAAATATGGACAATATAACATATTGTGACGCGTTACCTTATGTCCATCACGCGACAACCGCTACAATCGGAACGGACACTTCCACGGCAACGAATACGTGGAAACTGTGGAGTTCCCGCAGCGACAGATCGTAGCAACGAATTGTCGTTGAGTAACAACGGGTGAGACGAGGCACGTTACCGGTGACATCTATAGGAGCGTTCCCGAAGCAACGGACTGCCTGAACAGCGGTAACGCAACAGTGAGGAACGGTGTCCGGTATCCGGTCCGCATAGCCCCTATATAAGCAGAGCTTACGACACGCACAGAGTAGAGTAGGAGGCGACGAAAAGGAAGTCTCAAATCTGAAACAGTAAAATACGGTCGCGACTCCCAAGGGACTCGGACGCGAGAAAGACTGCGCTGGCAAGGACCAGTAGCATGTAAAAGAGACAGACTCGTCCTCTCGTCAGAGAGGGCGCCCCACAAAAAACAAAACCGTAACAACGTTCAACAGTAATAAGACTTACTGACTGACTGACCGACCGTCAGTCGCAATGTGACTTGGACTTGGACTTGGACATTTAGAGTATTGGGCCAGAAGTCAAGTGATACTGCAAGCGACAATAATTGTAATGTGTGTAAGTGTGAGTGTCCAATAAAGGTTCTTTAAATCCGAGACCCACGTGAAGTTATTTGTCGCGTGACATACCCAACACGTGACAATATATTTACGCTAATCCATCACGCACAGACAGAATCCATTTAAGCCAATTTTTTTTATGCATGTTTCTAATAGCGTCTACGAATTATGGGCCTATTAAAAATACAGCAATAATTGCGAAAGGCAAGAAACGAGATAGATGAACTTTTAGGCAGCGTCTACACGAGCGCACAAAATGCGTCCGTTTTAACGAACGTCGTGACGTCCGTTGTAGAAATAAACAAGAGAGGCGAATGCTACGCTTTCTTCTGGCTCCATTTCAAAAAAAAAATCTGCAACTGTGTGGTATCCTCAGCAACGTCCGTCATAAAGTACGTTCGTTACAACGGACGCTTTTTGTGCGCTCGTGTAGGCGCTGCCTTAGGTTTAGAGACAGAAGACGCACATGTAGTGTGGCGTGGTTCCTGAAGATGTCTCTGTGTTTCGGTGTGTTTCCAGAACGCCCCAACAGTAATTGCGTAACTTTTATTTAAATTCCAGAGAATCTCTCTCCCATCCAACACCCGATCAGTCTCGCTGCTGAACTGTTAACTGCACTGAGGAATGTAAGAACGTAACACAAAGAGTCTCGCTTTTGATCTCCGCCAAGGCTGAGCTAGAATGGTGCGCAGATCCGTGGTAATGAAAGTAATAAACTCTGCAGATAATTCGTCAACGAACTGAAGAAGAAATATTGCTTCTGCTTCTGCCCTGTTCAGTACCTAAAATCACTTCTTTTGAATAGGACATGGCTAGAATCCAATCAAATACTGTCTCGTCTGTTTCGTTTTGAAATCACCGTGGATTTATTCTTTATCTGAAAACTTGCCAAACCAGTAAGCGGTGAAGAAAAATGGCCTGGAAGAAAATCCTCTGTTTTATTGATTTACTTTATTCCATTCTGTTTTCTTCTTAAGCAGTATCCACTTGATCCACCGTATCCACTTGATCTTACGTATGCCATGCTAGAAAATTCTATCAAGCCTCAGCTCCAGAGAATGTTACTTAAGCTGTGAAATTTATCGTAGCAGCAACTTACAAGATGGTGTGATTCTTTGTTAAAAGAAGCTGAAAGAGAACATTCCTAGTCGTTTAAATGGACACTAAATAAACACAAAGCAGCCATGTAGATTTTTAAATGATCCATCTTAAAAGGTAAAACTAAAGTAATATTTTCCCTATGCTTAATTAAGTATTATGCCATGAATAAATGGTGTCCGGATGAAAGGTATCCAAAATAAAATAATTATCTCAGAAAGAATTTATTATACACATTTATGGGTTATACCACTGTAAAGGGAAACTATTAAAGTTTTTTCTGAGTATATAACTTTCTTAATAAATATCAATGTGGGCTCACTTGGTGGCACGACAGATATCCAGATGATATTCGACCTCGTTCCACGTTGCTTGAAACATGTTTGGTGTTACCGTAGCCACAGCGTCCCTTATGTGGGCTTTCAGATGTTCAAACTGGTTCATTTTAACCTGACAGACAACGTTCTTCGCATACATATCTCCGCTGTCTCCGTCTTCGGGTAAAACCTCAATTGTATCCAATCGGTAGAGCTAGTCCCTATCTCCGCTCTCTCTGTCTTCAGGCAAAACCTTCTCAGTGTATCCAATCGGTAGAGCTAGTCCCTGTCTCCGCTGTCTCCTTCGGGTAAAACCTACTCAGTTGATCCCAATCGATAGAGCTAGTCCCTGTCTCCAGAGATATGGACTGACTCTATCGATTGGGCCCAACTTAGTAGGTTCTACCTAAAGACGGAAACAAAATCCAGTCTCCTCTGTTTTGAAATATAAACATGACGGTTTTTAGATAAAGACAGGATGATGGAAAATGCCCAGTAACACAGTATTTGTACTAATGTACCGTCGTCACAAACTTTTAGGTCTTAGTCGTTATTGTGAAACAACTTTAATTTGATTGGCTGCGAGATTCCATAAATTATTTACTTACTGTGAGTTTGGCCGCGCCATTGCTCAACCAGTTAGTCGCTGGCTTCCTACCGCGGCGGCCCGGGTTCGATCCCGGGGTCTGGTCAAGTGGGATTTGTGGTGGACAAAGTGGCGCTGGGGCGGGTTTTCTCTGAGTACTTCGGTTTCCCCTGCCAATCTTCATTCCACCAGTTGTTCCACAATCACCCTCACCTATCATCTGGGGCTGGTACAATAGGCCAGAAGTGGCAGCAGTGCAAGGGACTTAGTCCCACCCCACTAGCAATAAAGAAAACAGTGAGTTTGCTATTTACCTGTTTCTGGAGCTTTCGGTGATGGATGCTTATGAATACCAAATTTGTAACAAAGAAACCGGTCCCTACTTCAGCACACTCTGTTTTCATTTTATGTTTGCTTCTTTTGTAATTGTTATCATCACATCATCATCATCATC